ACATGTAATTCCACCTCTTCTCAAACCTGACCAGACCTAAACTCTGTTAAGTTTCCAGTTGGAGGAGAAGTAATAGGATGCAATTAAATATAGAGTTCATTACACACCTAACATACAAAGTCTGGAGCAGTACTCCAAAAACCAGTTGTTCAGTACAAGTCTACCTTAAAGTAAGTCGTCCTTAAAATTTACTCTACAAAGTTAAAAAAAAAAAAGTGTCAACTTTGGAATAAGTTATGTTCAGCTAAATGTCCAAATGTGCATTTGCACAGAAGAGGTCTGGATTGTTTTACTTTTATGCATCAAGAAGGCGCATTTAAATGTCCAGTATGAATATTTACAGCAAGTAAAAGCTATTAGAAAACTAATACTGACATCTGAAATGTGGAACTTGCCCACATTTGATGGTTCTTGATAATAAAGGTTTCTGTTAATTTCCAAAAGCTACAACATTGATAATTTAGTTAGAGTCTATAAATAAGCACAGACAGACTCCCTCAGAAAAAGTGCAAGACAACTTAAAATATACATGGTAATCTCCTGAATTTCTTATTCAATTTAATTGCCCATTAAATTGCTCAATCTCTAAACTTTTCTAGCTTTGTTATGAGTTAGCTGTGAAACTATTGCACATCATTTTCTAACCCTCAAACGAGCAGAGCGAACTAAACGGGCTCATTGGAGTCTGTTATGCCTCCTTATAATTTATAGGGGAATATTTTTTTAAATAGCTCTCTTATCATGACAGATATTTGTAAGATTGTTGGGACTGCTTTTTTAATATTTTACGCTCTTTATCTTATAGTATGAAGCTATTTGAAGTGACTGTTGTTGTGAATTGGTGCTGTACACATTGAATTAGTAAGATAAAATAATCAGCGTTCTAATTCGGTCGTGGTTTTCATTATTTTTTTATGCTAAAAAACTAAAATGTACAAACATAATTGAGATATTATTTGTGTTTTACTTATTACATTACAAAATGTCTTTGTTTCAGTAATGCTAGAAAAAAAACTTCAGCCTTTTTTTTTCTTTTGTTACTTAAAACACAAATTGCAAAATCAAATCAAAAAAGCAAAATATTAAAAAATCCACTAATTTACACAAATACATATAACACCATGTGTGTACGAGTCTGTCTTTAATTTGCAGATGTAAGGAAAGAAGTCAATTTATACGTAGATATAGAGTGGTGCCCTTACAATAGCCCCATTTAATCTGAGACATTGGAAAAACAGTTTTGGAGTAAACCTTAGAAATTGCCCTTTATTACATCAGAAAAAATGCAACTCGTGTACAGTTTGACTGAGTTCTCTGAGCATTGTTGTACTTTTCCTTGTGAATTAAGCAGTAGATGTTATAATTGAGATATTACAGCACCTAATGTACATGGAAAACCACACATATAGAAACTGGATGGATGGAATTCTGTTTTGAAAAGTGAAACCACGTCAGTGAATGCAAGTTTGTACATGTGTTTACATATATGTGTGTGTGTTGTATGTGTGTTCATATATATGTGTGTGTGTGTGCTGACTCTGACCTGTCTTGTCCTTCCAGAGCTGGTAACCTCTGGCACCAGCGATAATGAGAGTAGTTCCTGTAAGTCTAGCCCCTCCTCTGTCCCCTCTCTCTCTCTCTCTCTCCTAAATTTACTTTTCTTCTTCACTCTGTTCTTGATCTTTTAAACTTTGCCTCTCAGTTCATCACCTGCTTGATGTAGCTGCTGGGCTGTAGGTTTTCCTCTGTGTGTGCTTGTGGGTGTGTCGCGCGTAATCGTGTGCTGTGGTTTACTTTAGTTTTACGTGCATGTCTTTGTGTGTACAGTTTACCTTTCTCTGCTTCTGCAGCCTGCTTTTCCAGAGCTGTTGAAGAACTCTTTTTCCAAAAGTAGAAATGGTTAAGGGCGTGATATGTTGTCAAGTGTTGGTCCTTTTAATGTGTCTTTCATTTGTGTTTGTTTAAACAGCTGGTCAGGAGGAGATCCTTCTCACCTACCAACCTGTCATGCAGCATGAAGGTCAGTGGCTTCCCTTTCCTCCTCGGTTTGTTGTTGTTTTTCATGTGTGTTAGCTTAGCTTATGTAGGTAAATTAAAGTGCTTCTCTACTCAAAACTGTGTTTCAATCTTTATCATTTCTCATTGGAAAGAATTTGTCATTTTGACAGGGAAATTGCGTTGAAAGTGCTCGCTGTGTTTGTTTAGTGTTTACCTGCAAACAGCATTTTTGCAGCGAATCCGAGGCCGTTGCAAAAGAAATCTAAAACTTCAAACCACTTAAATCAGTTGATGTAACTTTAAGAATCAACACATCTTAGACAATGTATTATTAAAGCAGAGTACTTTGTAACATCTTTAAACATGCCTGGGGGAAGTAATTAATTGAGTTTGTAAAAATTCATTATTTTAGAAAAAAAACAGTCGACCGGTAGTTGGAAAACCTTCCCGTAGCTTGCTTAAATCCCACTGAAGCAGCAGTGGGTCAGTCATTACAAACTTCCTAGCTGTATTAAATAAATCATCCGGAGCAAGCTGCATTAAAATTTTTATAGATTTTAGGGTCCTCTTGATGCACGCTTTGCAGTTTTTTTTTTTTCTTTTGAGTGAGGTGACTTGAGGTAAAAATGACTGATTTCAGACAGGCAGAGTTAAAGGGCTGGTATAAGTTTTTTAAAACTGTGAATCCTTCAAAGACACTCCAGAGGAGTGGATTTTACACGTTGACGGAACCTGGTTTTTTTTTTGTCAATTCTCAGTTAATTACACACGGCCAGTCATCGTGCTTGGACCAATGAAAGATCGGGTTAACGATGACCTCATCTCCGAGTTCCCTGACAAGTTTGGCTCCTGCGTCCCACGTGAGTGCCTTTAGTTCATTATAAATCCCAGTAGAAACCTGTAACAGTTACTGGAGCTTTGCAAACCTTATGACCTTGAGGCAATAAATCAAAATTGCAAAGTCATGCCTAATTTTAATACATTTTTTATGACCTCAGTGAAGGGTCACGTTTGCCTCATTTAGTTTTTTAGGTTAGAAGAAAACTGACAAACATTTTTATGAGACTCCCAAACCCCCAACAAATGGATGTCCTACCCTGAAGACAGATGAGTCCCTAATGCGACATAATGTTGTGTTTTTGCTTTTTAATCTTAATGTTTCAGGCTAATATGTGCACTAAGGTGCTCATGAGCAGGATACTGCACACTAAGATATTTTATTTCTTTGCCTGAGTCTGTGTAAATTCTGATCTTTAGACACAACACGGCCACGGAGAGACTACGAGGTGGATGGCAGAGATTACCACTTCATGTCCTCCAGAGAGCTCATGGAGCGAGAGATTCAGGAGCACAAGTTCATCGAGGCTGGACAGTATAACAACCATCTGTATGGAACCAGCATACAGTCTGTCAAAGAGGTCGCTGACAAGGTGAGACAGAGACACGATCAATGGGAAAAAGAGAGCGAGGGTATGGGAAGAAAGAATGTCTGACTCCGTGTCTCTCCCACAGGGCAAGCACTGCATACTGGATGTATCAGGGAACGCGATAAAGCGTCTCCAGATGGCAGGCCTCCATCCCATCGCTATCCTCATTAGACCACTCAGTGTCGACAACATTTTGTAAGTGACACAACGTAACTGTTCAAAGACATCTATCTGAGCATCTGTCTTGCATCTGTTCTTTCAAAGCTCAAGTAATCAAATGGAAAGGTTAAAAATATGATAGTAGTTAAAAAAATTTAAGTAGCATCCTATAAGCATCTTATAAGTAAAAACTATCAGCAACATAAACAAAGCCAGTAACATTGTATAACTTCTCTAAATAAGTGCCACAAAAATGTTCTAAGAGACGGTTCAAGGTTGACATGACAAATATTAATTCTCAAAAGTTCTGCTTTTATGTCATACTGATGAAATACCTCTCATGAAGGTACTTTTTTCTCTTTTTCCATTAAAAAATGTGTGGCTGCATTTATTAGGGAAAAAAACTCAGTGAACTTCATTTTTACCCCTGAGCCGTAGTGAGTTTACTGGACGGCTGATGGGTACCGCTGCCGGTTGACAGTATTTTTATACAATATGCAAAAAGTCAAACGCCTCTACAGTGAGAATGTTGCCTATATTATTTTAAATGAGGGCTAAACTTCACTAATTTAAATAAATGTGAAGCCCAGGTTCTTTTTTGCTTATATGTTCCTTTACTTTTGTTCACTCATCACTTTCCGTTTTCTAAAAGTCACTGAGTCATCTTAACACTGCTGAACTTTACGGAAATATCAGTAGGGCTATTTTTAGATAGGGTCAGAAAACTAACTGTAGTCTCTTTCTGCAGAGAGATGAATAAGCGTCTCACTGAGGAGCAGGCAAGGAAGGCCTACGACAGAGCTGTGAAACTGGAGCAGGAGTTCACAGAGTACTTCACTGGTGAGTCACCTAAACAAAACACATACCTTTAAATCTCCCCCCTCAAGGTTGTCTCCATGTGCACATCTGGACTGCCTCCGGAGTCGCTGCTACTACTAAATCACTGCAGAAATATTTTGCACTAATAATATCAGGATATTGGGAGTGTATGATAAATACTGTACAGTAAAGTCTCACCTGTGGCGGTTATACACTTTGAAAAGAAAACTGTACACATGAGCTGTATAACTTTGGAAAGTAGGGTAAAAATAACATTTTCCATATCTGCTCAACTTTTTTCGATCAAAGATTAGTATGCTTTGAGGTGTAAGTGAAAATGTGATCAAGTTTATTTTTGTGTTTGAGGAGAATCTGTGGAGGAGGCAGCTTGGAGAAACTGTTAAACACGCAGCAGGGACAAGCTGTGAACCGCACTGGCATATTGTCACCTTTAATGCTGATAAAGTTGTTGGCAAGCTGTGATTTATTCACATATTTATACACGTCGAGTAGTTTTAAAGCTAAGCTATTATACATGTGGGATTGTGTTTTTGGTCCATAAAATCTCATTTAGCTCAGGTTTTGATCTTTACCAACACCTGAAGAGAATATTTGGCCATCCATCCATCTAACTATTTTCTTCCTGTGTGTCACATTATTTGATTTAAACACATCTTTTAATCTTTAATATTTTTCTCTCTCTCTCCTGCAGCAATCGTCCAGGGCTCAACTCTAGAGGAAGTGTATTCGCAGGTGAAGCAGATCATCGAGGAGCAGTCTGGTCCTTACATCTGGGTTCCCACCAAGGAGCGACTCTGAATAAATACCCATATACAACATACTCACACACACACACACACACATCAGCCTCTCTGCACACTTCCTTCTTGTCTAATTTTCTATTATCAGCCTGCTTCCTTGCTCTCTTTTTCTTACGCACGCACATCACTACATGCATTGACACATTTACATAAGCACATTCAGTGGGACGAGGCTGGGACTATCTGGGACTGCTGCTTCCTGAAGTGGGAGGAGCTCATGTCTGTCCAGCAGCCTATTGGTGGATCTTCCTACGGCTCAGTTCCTTAATGTTTAAGGAGGTGGTTTAAATCAAGGCGACATGTACCATTATCTGATTTGATTTCATTATTGTTCTTCTTATTGTTGTTGTCGTTGTTGTTTTCATATTAACGAAGGGTAATGCATTCATGTATGGGTTTGTAATGATTATATTGTCACCAAGAGGCAGATTTTTGCACGCTGTAGCTTTAAGAGCATGTTTTTGGGACAAAATCTTGATCTCCTTCCCTCTCTGTCTGTCTCTCCTCATAGCATCACTCCTGTTTACAGTTGCTTACTCATGTTTTTTCTCAATTCTCAATCCTTTCATTCCCTATCTTCTTTTGACTATCCACAGACTTTAGATATGAGGTGAAAATCATTATAAAATTTTCAATACGCCACAGAATTTTGGCATCAAAACAAATACTGTTTAGAGATGTAGCAAGAATATATTAATCATTTAATCTGTAAGCAATGTGTGACATAATAATAATTATATTAAGAAGCAGCAGTTCTCGATCCGATAACAAAAGAAGATTAAATTCAAATATATAAAGTGCAAAACCCTCTATCAGAGGTTTGCTATTAAAAGGTCAAAAACAAACTGCCTCACTGAGTACGTTTGCAGCTCTGGGCCTGCATTTATCACATTTCTGAGGAATATTTTTAATATAACTCACAGTTCTCCATGGTGAGTAGAGACAAGGTCATATTTATCAGGCAGCTCACTGCGATTTACAGCCAAAGAGAAAACACGATAGAGCAGCTCATAAGGCCATCGAACGATCAATCACCAATCAGAGTCAAGTCATCTGCACCGTTGCTCGTTACTTTTTACAAATTCTTATCTTCAGTAGAAATGTATCGTCTAATTTACAAAATATATAAATACTTTGTCTGGAACACAAAGTACAGATGAAGGGAAAATGGTAAAAATCTTAAAAATGTTAAAATCGGACACAAATAACAGATTATGGTACAAGCTGTAGTTTGTGTAAACACTCGAAACAATAATATTTAAGTCAGAATAAAACCATAAACTGCTCCAGTTTGTTAGGAGAAATAAAATAAAACTAAATTTAGACATTTTTTCTTTTTACTTAAGTTCTAAAATTGTACTCGACAGCTCGACAAACAGCGGCCCAGATTCGAGATCGAGTCTGTTTCGTAGAAGCTTTCATCTCAAAGAGGCTTCTCTGCCTTTTCCTTCCACCTCCGCTTCCTTCTCTCTGTCTCACGCCTTCGTGTCTCCTCCTCTGCGCAGTGTGACGTTAGTTACGCACGCCAGCATTAAACAGTGTATCTTCTGCTTCATCATCACTATCATCACGATCATAATCATCATTGTTACGGCTTTCCTTCTTACCGTAGTTGCACTAATGAGGGCTGGTTTCTTAAAAGCATCTTTACCCTCCCAGTGTTTCCGGTCTGCGCACGTGATGCACGACACACTCGCTTTTCCCTCAGCGATGATTGAGCTGCTTTGAGACGAAGCTGGTCGACGCGGTTTTTTTTGGTAAAGGTTAAAAAACACATCATACTGTCGTTGATGAGTATTTTAGGGGTATCGAGTGTACTCTTCTGGAGAAACTTGCTGTTTGGATTAACCATTTAACTCGAATCCACTTTTTCCCCCGCTGGATTTATAATTAATAGTTTAATAGTTTAAGCCTTTATGTGTGACCTCCGCACTCCATCTATAATTATCCAGCTAAGGGTTATACCTTGGAGCCTGTTTTCATTATTTCACAAATGTCTACTTTATGCATTGAAGGATGAAATGTTTGGCTTTTCATTCATTTAAGGAGGCCACACAGCACGAGAAGCAAACCTAACCCTGTAAAGCCTGAGCCATTCCTTTCCTTCTGACAAATGAAAGAAAAAAAAAGAAATGAATTATCAATACACGAGTTTCAATTTGTATAATTTTTGCTTTATCTGGCATTTTTTAGGTTGATGATATTTAAAGAAGTTTAAAAAAGCTCACAACTCATGTGTTAAATATGACACAGTTGGCGTTATGGGGTTAAAGCTACTCAGTGGAGTCTGTGACCACGTTAACAGCACATGTAACCTAACAATGGCGACTCTGTTGGTCATGTGAAGCTTGCTTAGTGCATCTGTTACCTGTAGTAGTCTTTTCAGAGGCTTTGCTGCTTGTCGCCAGGGCTCAGCTTAACAACACGTGACTAAACTCTACATGTACTGAAAACTAAAATGAAAACAACAACAAAAAAAATCATAGCAGTGTTGTTGAGTATATCTGTTTTTTAGCATTGCATCTGCTTTATCGCAAGGGCCAGTTAATGCATCCAACTCAGTGGCCTGAAAGGTGCTGTGGAGCAATATTATTTTCACTTTCTTGCAATCCAGGTTGCACCTGTAAAGTTTGTTGCATGACTGCAAAAAATGATTTACACGCTATCCGCCTCATAGATATTTTGTTATTCGGATTAGAGCGTACATTCTTGAGAGCCCTTTGCTACGTAATTGGCGTTGGTGTAATGTTTCCAGTTTCTCCAGGGAGCAACATCGCGAGTGCTGAGGTCACGAACGACACTCACCGGAAACACGATGTAACATAATCTCTTGTTTTCCAAACGTAACATTCGAGATCCCGAGATGCTTTTGGCGACGCAGCCCCCACCTGTATGGACCTTGTCAGCCACCCGCTCCCCATCTCCATCCTCCAACCCCGAGGCGACTTCTCCAAGCTGACTGGAGACTGGAGACGTATAGAAAGACTGTTCTGTCAACAGAGTAGCTTTTTATTTCAAATAACAACCAGTTTTTGACCGCATGTGTTTTAAAAGGCTTTAAATGTTTCTCCACAGAATGTTCAGATAGGCCAAATCTGTAATCCTCACTGATTCAGGTCGATCAGTACTGTGTTTGTGTGTTGACAGAACTGGGCTGTCTGTATGACTCTGGCTGTGTGTTTTTAGCCAGGGGACCATGCCACTGTATGTTAGAGTAAAGCACCGATGCAAAGAATCTATTACAGAGATGGAACTATATCTAACATATAATATTTATCCCTGCTCTAACTGCCTATTTTGGTACAAAAAAACATAAATAAAAGTCTTTATTGAGATTTACTGAAATCCTTTTACCTTTAACCGGAGATGATTCTTCTTCTTTTCTTTTTTTTGCATTGTGGAATGTGTATGAATGTGAATATTCTCTTAAAACTGTAATCTAATATAAGTTCCTTTACTCTCACCTCTACTACGAGTTTGTAGTGCTCTCTCTGGATGTCTGATTTGACTCTTCAAGCAGCACAACTGGAAAAAAGTAACATTAAATTAGTTCAGGAAAAAAGGGTGCAGATTATATATTGATTATAAATAGGGTCTTGAATGGGTGCAAATATTAATTGTGTTGACAGGTGTTATTAAGAGTTTTTGTTTACCGTACTTATGCTCAAAAAAAGGGACGCAGACGGAAATTTCTAAACTCACACTGTGTCACCGCTTTCTTGAAGATAATGCTCAACAACAGAGACACACTTATCCAAACACTAGTATTTGTTTTCCAGATGTTTAATATTCAGGTATATTCTATTAATACACATGGTTTGAAAAGCATACCATGAAATGATCAGGCACACTCAGAAATATTCGTAATAAAAGTCCATTTCTGTCCCTGCAGTACAATCTACACAAATGTGCATTCATCCATCCATGGAGCCTGTCCCAGATGACTCTGGGTGACCCTGGACAGTTTACTAATCCATCACAGGGCAAACACAGAGACAGCCACACCTGCTCTCACCTCTAAGGGTTAATTTAGAATCATTTACAAACGTAAAGTGCACCACTGTGCTGCACACATATGTAACCTCTACGGCTAACTAGTAGAACCCATAGCACTAGGCGCTCACAGTAATGTGTATGGATACCATCTCGAGGACCAAAAGAGGTACCTACAGGTTTACAAGCCATAAAAGTGATGTGGTTTAAAATTCAGAAGAGAAGACAGAAAGAGGGGACACAAAGGCAGACAAAGTAAAGAAAGTAGAGTAGAAAAAAACGTGGGTTTCTTTTTTCCTGAGTGGACCTCAGCAGGTTGTTCCTGGATCAACATTAGCATGCTGATCCAGGAACAACAACAACACGGGAATATCAGATAGACCTCGGATAGACGATGTGTGTGTACCCATAATTTAGAATTTGGTAGTTTCTATGTAGCAATATCCTTATTTTAAACACGGCATAAAGTCATGCTATGACTGTCAGACTCAAACTGTCCAAACAATATTCTTCATACAATTCATGCAGCTATTTAGTTCCTTCCACTTATCAAACTCTGCCCTGCAACTTAAGAAAACACTAGCACATAAAATACAGCAAAATTTAAATAAAACGCAATGGGAGCTGGTTTTTGTTTTTTGCCTGCCCTCAAAAACTTTCATTGTGTTTATGAGCTTTTTTAAAGCTTTTGCAGCTTTTTTCTATTTGCTGGTGTTTTCTTAAGTTGCAGCGTGTTTGACCAATCAGGGCCACCATACTATCCCACCTGTCATAGAGTATATCCTATGACAAGCTGTTGGTCTAAGACAGAGGGACAAAAGAACTTTCACACTCATATTCACTCATACTGCCAATTTGTAATCACCAGGTAACCCAACTTGCCTTTCTTTTGACTCTTGGACAAAGCTGGAGTGCCCAAGAAAAACCTATGCAGGCTCAAATAATGCTTTGTTTGTGTAATTACATAATGATAACCATAATAATATTATGAGTAATCATCTTTCAAATTTACGCCTTTTCTAATCAATGAACACGAAAATAAAACACGTTTACCATGTAGTTATTACTGAAATGGAGTTTTTTGGTTTTTTGGGGGGAGGGGGGGGGGGGTTGCCTTCCTGAGAACAAACTTTCAAAAGGGAGTTTTTCTTTTCCAAGTGCTTGCTCATAGGAGGTCAGTTGATTGTTGGGGTTTTCTCTGTATTGTTGTAAGGTTTATACCTTACAATATACAGTAAAGCGTGTTGAGGTGACGCTGTTGTGATTAGATGCTATATAAATAAAACAGAGTTGAACACCTTTTTGCAGATTCAGTTTACCCATTGGTTAAATTTAAATTTAAAAAAAACTGTAGCTAAAAAACAAGACAACACAACAAAAAATAAAGAGGCAGGTGAGATCCACCCAGGGTCTGGTCTGGTCCTCTCTCTCCTGCTGTCCAGGGTTGTTGTTTTTTTATTATCATAATCTGATATTAAAGATTTAAATGATTTTTTGTGTGTAATTAGTATCAAATCATACATTTCAGATATTAACTAAAGGAAAAAAAGTAATCCCAGCCATACAGAGGATAAAAGTTACTGAAAAACTTGTTTTATTCGACTTGGGCTCTCTGATGTCTGTACTTATCTCCACAGATATAATTCGTCACCAGGTCCAAGGTTCACACTTTCATAGTTCTTGAGTTCATTGAGTCCTGGAGTTCAGCTTGTCATTATCGAGAAGTTCGAAGCAAATATCCTGCAATAAAATACCCAGAGTCACTGGATATAAACTATTCCCATATCAGTCTTGGCAGGCCTAGGGCCTTCTGTGCAAGTTAAACTGTCATATGATAATTATATGTTTAGGTACAGTATATTGCCTGTGTGACACTGGCCCTGGTTCATGTGACCAATGAGAAAAGCCTAGAAGTGCTCAGGACAGTCATGCAAAGAACACTGTTTTGTCCTGCATTGTAAAATGCAGGTTAAACGCTTCATATTCAATGAAAGGCAGATTCTCATATCTGCTGACAAAAAACACTGACTGAAAATGGCACTGCTGTGACACCTCGGTGTGACTGTCACCTCCGTGTCATCCTCATTCTGTCACAGCGTAAAAAATGAGCAAGCTCACACCCGGACAGTTTCGCCACAGTGAGGTCTTTCTGCTGATGAAGTTTTATTATCATCATCTCCTGTCCCGTGCCTGGAAATGATCGTTGTTAGGAACTTGAAGTTGAACATTTTGTGAACAATGAGAGCAATTACACATTTTATGATAAGGTTGACTTCCTGAGTTTTGGCAAAAGGCTGCAGATTTATTTTTATTTTTATTTTTTTACGACGGATGTCGCCATAAACAACAGCAGCACGTTTAAGCTGGTCAGCTGTTGTTAGAATTCTTTTAATATTAATTTCTAGTATCAGCTGATGTTTGCTGGAGCCACAGCTGTAAAGCTGCTGGTCATGAT